ACGGAGGAACATACCAGCAGTCTCCCACCAGGATCTGTGTTGGGGCTTGTGATCTTTGCTGTATTCAGAAACGGTCTGGGAAAGGGTGCAAGCAGTGATGGGACAGAGTTTGCTGGCGAGGCTGAGGTCTGCAGTGTAGTGAAAATGAGCACGCACTGCAGAGTTCAGGAAAGATCTCGCAATGAATGGTTGGATGATAAAATGACAAATGGAAGTCAGTGTTGGTAGATGCAAAGTAACTTACAAGGAGCTCTGCCTGCTCAAGGAGAGAGTTCAGACCAGTTATCTCCACTCAGGGAAGAGGCCTGGGGGTTGGCTCTGTGTTTTGTCCTTTCAGGGAAGATACAGAGGAATTAAGAAGAGGCAGAAAAGGGGAAAAGGAAAATAAAATGTATAGGACAGAGAAGACAGACAAGGGCGAGAAACACATATATATAAAATCACATGCAGTGAGTGAAGTGTTTAGAAATGATTACTTGTGATGTTTTATAGTATAGAAACAAGGGCATACTGATTAAGTAATGACACAGCAGGTTAAAAACCAAACAAGTTTAAGTACTTCACTATGCATCATAAGTCTGAGGAATTAATTGTCTAGGTTTGCTACGGAGGCAAAATAATCTAGAATTGAACAAAAGCAGATGATTTTATGGAAGAGCAACCCAGCCAGGACTGCTAGACAGAAGGGTACTTTCGTCAGAATAAGATTAAACTGAGCATTGCTTGAAACATAGCAGAGGAAGCATGGCTTTATGCCTACAGTGGTCTCCAATTTGCTCTAAGGACATGCCGCTGGCCACCTTCACGGCCAGGATCCTGTGCTGGTTTGACCCTACATCTCATACAGTAGTTTCTATGCTCTTCTGATGCACTGGGAGGATCAAGTTGAGAAGCAAAGCCCTGGTCAAGTAGCCTGTCCTAAACGTTTCTGCAAAGCACTGTCATGCCATGCAAGTATTCGGTCTGGTCAGCAAAGTTGACTAAAAGATAGGAAAGACGGTATCTCAGAGATGCTCTTACAATACTCTACAGTCACTTGACATAAGCTGGAGTGAGGCTAAGGGCAGCATGGAGAGATTTATCTGGGCTGAGGGCCAAACAGGTCTTTAAAACACATTTGGGACAGGAAACATGTCAACACATGCCATAGCATTGCCTATGAAGAAAGCAAACAACATGAAGGCTGCCAGTTTTGTGAAAAGAGATTAAGAGCCGTACTGGTCCTTGGGTCACAGGATCATGTTCCTAAACCTCAAGTTTACATCAAAGATGATGACCAGACTAAGGAGAGGAGAGGAAAAAGCAGGGCTAGGAAAAGGAGGAACAATGTGGGTTGAGAATGGAAAGAGAAAAGAACGAAAATTTCTGTATTAGCCAGCCTGATGGGGAGTTGCTGGCCAAGTACCTCAAGGGCCAAAGGCAAGCCAGAGCTTTAGTTTGGACAGAAGAGATTGATCTGGAGTAGGTTTTAGCCTAGAAGTGATTAATTAAAAGGTTGTTTGCAGCGAAGATCATTTAGATGTAAAGCATGGATAGAGATAAGGACACAAAACCCTTCTGCAAAAACAGGGAGGCAGGTTAGGGAAGCTCTCTGAAGGATGCACCGAAGCACCAGTTGCAGGGATGGAGAGGCAGGGGATGACTAGGAAGGCACAGATTATGAAATAAAATTCCTCTTAAGCTATCAAACCCAGAGTTCCCTTTAGCACTTCCAGTTCTCACTCCTGTGGATTGCAGATCCTTCTCACTGCTCTTCCTGCCTCCCTGGGTGCTGGTCCTGCCCAGCTCCCCACATCCACACTTCTCTTCCTAGCCTTCCTCTCTGAGCTCAGCTGAGGTCCCATGGGGGATGAAGTGCAGTGCTCAGGGGATCTGTGGGCTGCCAGGCCCTCTTCTGGGTGCTGCCCCTACTGACACAGCCGGATATATCCTGATATTTGCTTTTGTCTTGGTTTAACCCCAGCTGACAACTAAGCACTGCACAGCCACCCGCTCATTCCCGCTGCTGGGATGGGGGAAGAGAATCGGAAGGGTAGGATGGTCATATGGTGTGGGATGCCCCTTTGGCCAGTCATGGCCAGCTGTCCCAGCTGTGCCCCCTCCCAGCTTCTTTTGCCCCCCCAGCCTCCTCGCTGCTGGGGTGGGGTGAGGAGCAGAAAAGGCCTTGGCTCTGTGTAAGCCCCGCTCAGCAGTAATGAAAACATCCCTGGGTTATCAGCGCTGTTTCCAGCACAAATCCAAAACACGGCCCCATACCAGCTACTGTGAAGAAAATTGACTCTATCCCAGTGAAAACCAGCGCAGCCTTTTATGTGAATACATCCCATTCAGTTCCTCACATGCCAGCTGAACCCTAACACGATATAACATGAATGGCCTTCCCACTTTGGCTCACAGTTTGCTCTTTGGTTTTTCTGAGTGCCACAAGGGAAGCTGCTGCCGTAGGAAATGAGATAGGGCTGCTTGTGCAGCTCCTCCTCTTCAATGGATAAGATCATCTTCAGGGAGAAGATGAAAGAACTCCTTAGCATACCTCATGCTCTTACACAGAGCTGAAGCACCAGAGCCTGACTTTGGCCGTGAGCTGGAAGCATGCAGGCAAAGACCTCACTGAAGATGTCAAATCTGCACTTCATACTTTAGCAGCCTATTGTGTTCCTAGCTCTTCTCCCAGCTCTTCCCCACTGCTGGCACACACTTCTCCCCATGACAGCCCAGCACTAGCCAAACTGCCCTCCAGAAACTTGGCTAGATCTTGCATATAGGCAAGAGTGTTGAGTGTTTGCTAATGCTCCTGCAAACCAGAGCCTTGCGGAAATCATGCCAACACCTCCAGTGCTGCATAACCTCCTCAGCCTAGCCGCTTCTCACCCTTCTCTTCCTTTGATTTCTTCTTGCTGTGTCACAGAATAGGCAGAAGTAGCAGACATGGAAGAAACCTGACCTGCCAGCCCAGGCATGCTGCCCGGGTCCATGCCAGTGTCCTGGCTGCCTACATTGCGATTCTGCTTCTCAGTCATCAAATCAGGGGCAAAAGAAATCTGTGATCGATCTGCTCTGGTTTTGGGAAGCTTGCCAGCAGACGTGCCATGCACAGCCACCAGAGAATTGTCCTGACCCTCCCCTGATGCCATTTCCCCCCGCATCACTTGTGAGCTGTGCCTGCAGCAGCACCCAGGAGGTACTGGAGGCAGCTGCTGGGGAAAGCTCTTCACCACCCTCCTTGGTTCAGCATTATCCCTGCCAGGCTACAGGAGCAAAGAGTGTTTTGCAGCTGGATTTAGCCCAGGGCTTACACCGTGCTCTGTGGCACAGGAACTAGGAAAAAGTTACAGAGCAGCTCCGTTACTGAAATGCATGTCTCATACGTGTCTCAGTTCTGTGCATTAGTAAGTTCTTAGAAATGTTTTTGGCCATGAAGCGGTTCTACGTGCTATCCAGAAGGCAGGCTTTCCAGCTGCCCAGCAATGGAGGAAGCCAAGGGGAATTGGCACAGAGGCCACAGCTGCCCAGCAAAACGCCTCTGGGCTTAGCCAGGAAGACTCTGCAAACAGCAGCCTCTGACTGCCTGGACTGGTTCTGTCCTGAACAGCCTCAAAACAGCTGCCAAAACCCAGCACAAGGAAAAGGTGTGTTAACGCTGCAAGGCAGCGCTGGGGAGAGCCAGGACATCAGCCTGAAACAACCACCGCTTCCCTGCCTGGTCCCCAGCAGTGCTCCCGTGCAAGCCAGTGCAGCTCAGCACTACTGCGCCAGGGAGCACAGGGGAGGGAAGAGCAACAGTCCCATGGTTAAGGACAGTGCTGACACTGCCACAGGCATCCCCTACCACATTAACAAGCTTCTCTGGTCACAGCGCCAGCCTATGCAGCCCGGACTCAGCCGCACTCGTGCCTCCCAGGGAGGAGTGAAGCGGGGTAGGCAGTGTGGCTGTCCCCTGGCGCAGAGGGATCTGCCAGGGAAGGACCGAGCCAGAGGAAGCTCAGCACGGGCTGTGAACGGGAAGTCTCACCCGTGGCATACATGGGAGATGAGGTTGGCGTGGGAGGAGAGCGCTATTACAGGTGGCAGTTGTATGCCAGGATCACTGGCCCATTAGCCTTCAGCTTCTCCACTGAGACGCTCCACGTGATCCTGTGGCTACCCTCAGAGGTGTTAGCTGTTCTTCTCCATTTGCAGTCTGTGGCTTGAACTGAATGCAGGTAACAGAAACAAAGAAAACGCTGAACTTCTCCATATAGGAAGAAAAGAGATTTATTTTAAGAGGTAGAAAATACATAACAAAAGTAGCATGGTCCTGTATGTTGCAAGCCCTCTACCCTCAGTGTAGACAGGATGTTTCAGGATGTTGTCTAGCCCGGACTTGTAGTCATTCCAACCAGGATGAACAAGAAGGTTTCACCAATGATTCCCTGACTTGAACTCTGGCTAAGGTCTGAGGAGCAGTGTGCCTGCACACTGGTGCAAGGGCAAGAAATTCCCTCTGAAGAAAGACCTTCTTGCCCTCTTGTCTCAGCTCCTGTCCAAGTGCTCCTGCACTCAACAAAAAGGACACACCAGTTTCATTCCTTACTTTCCAAGCCCAAGCCCATCTTCCCTTGGCGCCCAGAGCAGCAGATACACAGGAACAACACAGAGACAGAGGACTTGAGGAGAAACAGGTAGGAAATCAGTACAGGTATCTGCGAGAGAACACATTTTTGGGAGTTATCTAGTTGTGACTATTAACAGTGCAAGGTGAGGGGTCTCCAGGCACGTTGAAGTATTGACACGCAGACTGCCAGGCACTGTGGATCTGTGCAGACTGTTGCCATCCTCTCCCCTCTGCCAAGATGAGACTGGTCCAGATACTGCAGTCTCAGCCACTGAGACCGGCTGAGTGCTGATGAAAGTTCATTTCTGCAGCAGTCCTGTCTGAGGGCACAGGGCCAGCTGGGTGCAGCAAACCCAAAAATTTAAAAAAAAAAAAAAAAAAGAAAAGAAAAAAGGCTGCTGTACATCTGGATATGCTCACCCAGTTAGGCCAAGCCCAGCAGCACTGGAAGAGGATAGGCTGAGCCACTTTGACCTGCAAGAAAGAAACAAAACGCAGTGGAAGGGTGTAAAAAGCAGGCTCTGTTCAGCAACCCCAGTCCGCCACGCTTGCGTCCTCTATGCAGATCCCACACGTTTTGTCTTTCTCCTGCCTAACCTCAGGAACAAGGAGCATGCCCTGGGTACATCAATACCCATGTGCAGGAATGAAGCAATTGAGTCAAACGCTTCAGGGAGGGGATTTTCAAGAGGAAGACAAGACAGGCCCCAGAAAAAGTGCTTTGCTCCAACATGAATTCCTGGGAGCAGAACCACGCAGGGCACTCGGCAATCCTGGTGCAAGGCTGCAAGCCCTGCAGTGGGTCTGCAGCCAACAGCATGGTCGTCTGATCCCTCTCCACTCCCAGCTGACACAAATCCAGGTTTTTCCAGAGGTGTACAACAGCATCACTACTGCTTCCTCCTGCCTTCAGAAACTGAATGCGACAGGGATTTACCCACTGGCTGCACAGGGGAGCTGCTCATCCCCTAGGTGCTTCAGACAATTAACGCATTGGGCATAGCCAGCTGTGTCAGACGGTCCTTCCTGGCCCACTCCATATACTCCTATAACCCACCCAGTATATTACAGCCTCAGTAACCAGCTGTGTTTCCAGCCGCTGAGACCTTGTTTAAAGTCCTCACAGACTGCTGCCTTTTCTTATGTTCTCAGCCTTGCCTTCAGCTCAATGCCTCTGCTATCCCCCAGGGCTCTCTGCCCAGCACCCACTTCTGATACGTGCCTCTCCACAACATTAAGCCACTGCAGTTGACTACTGTAGCACGCAGATACAATTTCTGATAGTACTTGTCCTTCCAGCCCCAGGCCTCTAACAAACTGTGAGCTCCCTCCAGCAGCCTTGTTACTGTACTGCAAGCACACCATGCCACCACAGGTGCTGGGAACGCAACCTTATGCTGACTTTTCCCATTTTTCCTGGTCTCTTTGCAGGACTGGAATGGAAGCTGGTCACTGCCCTTTGTTTTTCCTGCTCTATTTCTAGGTAGTTGGTGTCCAAGAGAACCTCCAGGTGGAGCTGGAAGGGAAGAGCCCCTTTGCTCCTCCATTTCCTGGGGAAGCTGCAATTGCTATCTGCCCTCCTGTGTGCCATGTCCTCTTACCATGTCACTTCGGCTCTACATCCTCAACGTTGAGAGCTTGACAGCAGCTCTGTACAGAAGTTTTCAAGCGAGTGGAAGAGAACTGCAGTGAGAAGCAGAGACAGCATTAGGGGAGCAGTGACTGGGATGCTGGCCACCATCACAGCCCCTTCTGTTGTGGGCTTTTCTTTGGGCATCTCAGCGAGCCTCTCCCAGGGTCGCCCCCAGCCCGGCACTTCCAATGAACACAGTCTTTACCCAAAACCACCAAATAAAACCTGTAACCCAGGAGCTAGGAAACTTGCGGAAGCCTCCTCTCTCCTGCCCCTAGGTAGGGCAGCTCCACATGTCCCAAAGTGGCTGTGGGTGGCAAGGCTTGGCAGAAGATATGCCCCAGCTCACCTGCTGGATTTCCTGCATTGCCAGGCGTATGGAAGAGTGGAGGCGAGGGAAGGCTCGCTGGCTGCCTCCTTCCTTGCCTGAGCTTGGCTTGTCCAGGCCCTGTTGGTTTTGGCAATTCTTGTTCCTCCTGAACCACGTGTGTTTGAGAACTGCAGCTGCTCCTGACTGCAGAGCTGATCTGCCAGTGGAAGGCCTGGAGGGGCAGGGCTGCTCCTCTGGAGGCATCTCCCCTTCAGCTGCTGGTGGACCCAGCCTGAGGCACTCCAGATCTTCGTAATCCAAACTCTCACTGCTTTTCTGAGGGAGGGAAGAGTGGATTCAGCAGTGGCTTGCAGACCCTCCACACACCCCAAAACAGCACAATGAAGAGGAATACCCAGCTGTGATCATTGCCAACATTTAGGGGGTAGAGGGGTATCACTCACCCGCCAGAGCCTCCACCCCACCCCAGGACTCCCCAGGCCCCAGCTACGAGCATCTCCTGGTGCATGCAGAAGAGGCCAAGCTGCTTGGCCAGAATGGGATACCCCCAACAGGAACACAGAAGAGAGATGCTGCTGCAGTGACTCTGCTCAGGGCACAGTCCATGACCCACCCCCTTTTCTGGCTGCAGATCTGCAACATTCACCTGCCCACAGGGAACAGTCAGTTTCTCCATGAAGGGCTGGATGCCCACAGTCTGATGGTACCGAACTAGTTCGGTAAGTGAGGCATGAGCCCGGTCTTCCCCTAGGATAACATAGCGTGCATTGGGCTGCATCTGGATCATGTAGTGTCTGCAACGGCCTTCGCCCCTGGAGAGATGGACAGACAGAAATACTCATGACATGGGGCCACAGCATCTCGCCAGGACCCAGTCACTGCACTTGTTGTCTCAAGAGGCCAGACGTGATCAGGAGCCACTGTAACAAATATCACAAAAATGCAGGAGATGCACCAGGCTGGAGTGCCACACGCTGTGCAAGTAGGTGCTGGAGGAGCAGCATTTCCCCCAAGTCAGTGACAGGAGAACCCCAGCAGCCGGATCCAAACCCCACCCCCATGCCTGCAGTCCACATTAAAACTCTGCCCTACCCCTTGCCTGAGGCTCCACAAAGATCGTGCCCTTGTGGCACTCTGATTGCCTCTCCTCAGGCCCTCCTCTAGACTCATCTCCTCTGCTCCAGTCAGCGCTTCTTCCAAGCTGTTTTGCCCACTCAGCTATATAGCACAGCCCGAGCAGGACCTGCACCCTTGGAGCCGCAGCATCCCACCCAAAAGCATACATAGTTTTTGGCAAGAGATGACTCCACAGTGCCCTGTCTGCTACTCCAAACTGAGGCACCCGCAACAGGAGAGGCTGAGTATCATCATCCTCACTGGACTCCTCTGTGGAGCTGGTTAACTCGCCAGCCATGCATTGCTCAGTTTAGGACCTTCTTTTTCCTTCTTTGCATGGCTTATCACCTACCTGTATGTCAAGGTGTAGCCTGGTCTGCTCTGGCTGATCCGAACAAGGAAGCAACCCAAAGGCTTGTCAATCAGCAAGTTTTCAGCTTCCCTGGAAGCAGGAAAGAGTTTTTCAGCGGACAGTGAGCAGCTGCCTCTGTCCAGGGATTCCTACCCTATGTGCTGTAGCGCTCCCAGCCCACAGGGAGGCCAGCATATGCCCCATGTGCTCCTAGCTGGAGTTTTCCATATTCAAGCTTGCTGATGCAAGGAGGAATTAGCAGGCTGAGGAGCCACAATACTCTCAGCCAAAGCCTCTCCAATCAGGGCTGCTCCAAACCTGCTCCAGTGGTCTGACTAGTGCAACAGCAACAGCTGCCGTCCAGCACAGAGCACACCACAAAGCACTGCTGAGGCGAGGAGGCTGTGCACATATGCATTTCCTATGCTCCAGGGCTGATGGAAGAAGTCAGGATGCCGCGGGGTACTGGTGCTCAGCACAAGGTAAGCCCAGTGCCTTGGAAAAACACCAGTGTGAATTA